TCCTTAACCCTGCGTCCTCCAAAGGCCGTCGGGTTCCTTTTATTCCAAACCCGAAGGCAGGTGGGGACTTTCTCAATTTTCATTTCGTACTTCAAGTTGTTAAAGTGCATGGACACTTCCTATGCACGATCCGGTCCAAATTGCTTCCGTTTCTTAAAAGATTTATTTTTGTTCATATCGTTCACGGTGGTAAAGGTATCTATCGTGGACATGACAGCTCCGAATGATGCTTCGGTCCAGTCAGGCAAGACCGCGGCGTCATCGGCGTGTCGAAGCTGCCCGCCACTCGACTGCACTCTCCAAAGCAGAATTCATGAAGGCCTTCGAATAATAATGAAAACTTCGATCTACGTTGTCGATAAGCTTTTGCGACACCAAGGAACCGCAGTAGGCATGGACGATCCGTTCGATCGCAGAATTTAATATTTTCAGACACCTGCCTTATATCGTCGCAGGTGTATCGACCGGGCGATAAGCCCATTTGATTGTAATGTATCAGGCTTTCAATTGTCTGTTTTAATCGATTGGCTTTTGCTAATATCTTATAACCCCGGTTGAGAATCGATATAGGTCGCCAGCTGGAGCGATTTTTATTATCTTTCTCTTTCCTGGGTAATAGTGTAATATAACCTCTCCGCTTTTTATTTTTTTTTAGACATTATTCTTCCTCTTAAACCCGCAGGAGAAATCCGTTAGTAGCATTCTAAAATGTCCGGTAAAATTCTACTGTAGAGGCAGACCTTCGGTCCCTGGTGGTTTTTCTCTGGAAAATGGCTTTCCCAGAATTTCGTTAAATTCGCTCGTCTTGAAATCCAAGTCAAATCCCGAACAGTCCTTAGCTAGCTATTCCGAAGGTCATCAATCTCTTCGGTGAAGATTCTTAGTAACGATTTTGCTTCCCATTTCGTGCTTTAGCAAACGCGATGGTTTCGCCTCTCGTTGACGGATAAGGTGGACTCTCAGATCACTAAGCTCGTAACGGAAGTGAAAGGCCGCGGCGAGGGCTTGAAACGGAGAAATTCAGGGGCGACGGCGCTGGGAGGGTCGGTGACAATGTGGGTCCAAGATTCCATTGGCATTCGGAACGTGCATTTTCCTAATCTTCAAGATTGGATCAAAGGGCTGGAAGAATCTGAAGGAACTCGACTTCTCAAAACTGAAATTTACTCGCGAAAGAGAAATCTCATCATACAGTCGACGTTCGATATACCTCCAATGTTTGTCTTGGCCGAGTTTGGTACTATATCGAAAAGCCCGGCTGTAAAACGGAAATTTCCGAAATGACGCTAATGGAAAATATAATTAGGGAAAAAATCCACTTCAATTCATCAATACTGCCGATGGAGGAGAAAAACCACAGAGCTTTGTGAAATGAATCGCAATGTTTTGCTGACTTTCGGCCGCACGCATCTCCTTGCAACGACAAATTTCCACATTTTCCCTCACACTTATATCTGTCTTTTCCCCATTACTGGATAGTGAACACTCATGAACAATAGTCTGGAGGAACTTTGAACTGAAAGAAAAGGAGAGGCAGGATTAGGTCAATTCGAGAGACTCCTCACGCCCCCATCTAATACCTGGCGTCCGTGCTAAAACCTAAGTCATCCCTCACAATCTCGTTATGAAACTATCAAAACGAAAGGCTGACAGTATGTCATTTTCCACGCCACGGTAATTCATGGCATAATCATTGTAGCAGGTACGGTATGCTACTTGGCGCTATATCAAGTACGACTTACGTTGAATAAGGCACGTTTATGCAAGGCAAGGTATTGGCGGATGGCGACTTACGATGGTGGCGCTATAACGGGAGAGCGCCAATGATAAGCCTATGGGGAAGATTCCTTCTCAGGAAAGAGTTGGCGCTTGGCGAGAGTGGCAGTATATCGGATGGCGCTATGTCGAGGGTTCGCTGTACAGGGTGTCGGAAAAAAAGCCGGTCCACTTTTTAAACTGGTCTAGAACAGGAACTATTGAAGCTAGCAGGTTAAAAAAAAAAAGCAAATGAAAGTTCAATCCAAGCCCTTTCCAAAGATGTATGGTTTTGAGTCCATGGGTGCCATGATATGGCTGTCATGGCCAATTGAAAAAATCACCCCCCAAAAAAGAAGTAGTAAAATGATGGGAAAATGATTGTTCCACCTCAACTAACCTTTATTTATTCAAGAAATGTTCAATGTGTCCTCCTTTCTGGTCCACCACTGCTAGCAGTGTGGGAGCAAGCGGTTCACTGAAAGCCTTTATCATCATTCTCTTAACCTGTCCTACTTTTATTCCAATTGTTTCACCCAACAAATGAGCAAAGAAACATTTGGAAACAGAGTAAGTGCAAGCCGTAAGTGTCAGCGTAAGCGAATGTAAGGGTACGCTTCAATAGTTCCTGTTCTAGACCAGTTTAAAAAGTGGACCGGTTTTTTTTGCGCCACCCTGTATATGGCATACCAGAGAAAGCCCAAGTGAATGTTAAAGAAGTAGTCCGCGCCTTTCTCAAACTCGATCTTCTAATGGAGTCCACCTATTTCGATGGGATATCCTTCTATGCGGTTCACCGTTTGCCGCAAAGACAGATATATATACCCACCGGTTTGGAACCGGAGCCCATTGGGGGGAGTGATTCGCGTGAGCTTCACCGCCCAATCATGGAAGCCTTCAGCTGGATTACGACGCTGTTCAATCAAGGAAGAAGCTGGGTATCAAGGAGGATCTATCACCAATTCTGCGCATGGAAAGAGGCCGCCTGGAGAGGACGGCCTTCGAAAAACGACAAGCAGACTCCGGATACGTTTCTCGCGTTCGCTTGATAGGAACATAACTTCATTTCCAGCCATATAATGAGCATAATAATAAGCGAACTCGGGAGGACACCTAATCTCAGCGACGCCTACTTTCCCCTTCATCTCCCTATTCCATTGTCTCTTTCTGCTTCCCCACTCTCGTTTCCCTGTTGTCTTTCATGGATTCTATTACTTTCAAACTTTCTTCGATTTTTTTAGAAACTTTTTCTCTCCTTTTTCCTTTCTCTTCTCCATTCTTCTTTCTGGTTGCGTCATCATTATTATTATTTTGTCACGTATCATCACTCACGTATTGCATTTCCCATGCCTTTTTTTGTGTCATTCATTATTGTTATTATTTGGCCATATACCTCGTAAGTTGTCCTTCGGCCCTTTCTTTTTCTCTTTCTTCATTCCCCTATGTCCCTCGGTCTCCCCCCCCCTTTTTGTTCATCAAAAGGAGTTACTTGTCTGGCATCATCCCCATATTTATCTCCCAAACAGAGAAGAGCCAGACTGATCCTCGCAAGCCTCTTAAAGCATTCGAACATTCGCGAAGGAGATCCACGAACCCAAGTCAGTATGAACGCCTTTTATCGAACAAGGAAAAGTCGGGATGTATCATCGGACACCCTGACCAGAAGTACCCGGAGTCTCCCTAAACGGATATATCTGGGAATCCCAAAGCGTTCCGTTGTGATGTGTGCGGGAAAAAAATTGAGTCATAATTGAAAAATACAGGAGATTCATTTAAATGGCAGACGGGGGGAAATCGCTGAATCGGTAGTTAGGCGCCTTATCGAATCGATTCTTTTGGACTTTTCCTATTGAGATGAAGTAGATAACTCCATGTTGAATCAAAATCGAAGCTATGATGAAGGCAAATACGAAAAGCGAATTTGCAGTCTAGGTTTGGCAAAAATGAAAACACCGAATCCAATTTTGCTTGCTATTGTTTCGAGAGGCCGAGCTTTCCCTTTTCCTCTTTTATTTCATGTCTCGGATACGGTACTCGAGACACCGTGGGTCCTGGTGGAGGGGCTTGGAAAAGTACACGTACGTCAGCAGTACAAACCATTTATTTAATTTCTCTCCCTTTAGGCGTCACACAGACAGAAAGAGAAGTCAGTGGTTGGGTATTGGTCTATTCGAAGACGAGTTCTTAGCCGCTGTCGGAGCTTGAGGACGAGATCTCCGACAGATGTCGGTGTCGCTTCCTATGGGGGAGGTCGCTCGTCGTTGTCTCCCTCAGGGTCTCGGAGGTCACTGATCCAATGCGGCGGGAAGGGAAAAGGGATGACGCTTCCTAAGGCTCTGAGTTTGCTGAGGACTAAGTCCGCTGGTCAGCTCGGGGTTTGGGAGGCAGGTAAGGGCTCTCAGCCGATGGTCGTAAAGAACGGGATCGGGATCGCTGATACGGCCGCTCGCCGTGCTTAAGGTCAGTGGACGGTCCATGGAGCGCAGCTGGGGCAAATCACAGGGTCAGAGCTGGGGAGTGCTGTCGTCAGGAGATTGGAGTTGTGACTTGGGTTCTTAGAATCTAGTAAGACTTAGATTAGGTCGATAGGGAGATTGTTCCGTACCGTTTCTCTCGGTCGTTTTTGGTATTCTGGGTGAAGTTTGGCGTCGGTCGCTTCTTTTTGGTCGTTAGGGACTGCCGGGATCGTCCTAGGTCGTTGATCCGGTCCTTGTTCCTTCGCTTGCTAGGGGCCTGTGAGGTCCCTCCTCTTCCCGGTGCCTAACTCACCGGTGTCCCTCATTTCTCCCCTACTGATCATCTTTACTCGTTTATTGTTTAATCAACTTACGGCATTTCCTTATCTCTTTCGCTCCATCTAATGTTGGTCCGATTGATACCATAAATCTATCTATACAATAACTTACCTGTGACAATTTACAATGGGACGTCGAATGGGACGCGGAACGTTCGGCCCATCAGGAGTTCCTCGAACCATCTCGAAAATAGGTCTGCGTTTTCAATGCCCTCAAGAAGCATGGGATCTGCCGTCCTGTTAATTCAGGGATGTCCGCATGTGATATCTGCACATCCCGCCGAATCGATCGATGACTGTTAACCACTGCCTCGTTCTCAGTGCAACTCATGAACTCGGCACAAAAATGTATCATACGTTAAAAACAAGATCCATAACCGGCGTTCACTGGTCCAATGCGGCGGGAAGGGAAAAGGGATGACGCTTCCTAAGGCTCTGAGTTTGCTGAGGACTAAGTCCGCTGGTCAGCTCGGGGTTTGGGAGGCGGGTAAGGGCTCTCAGCCGATGGTCGTAAAGGACGGGATCGGGATCGCTGATACGGCCGCTCGCTGTGCTTAAGGTCAGTGGACGGTCCATGGAGCGCAGCTGGGGCAAATCACGGGGTCAGAGCTGGGGAGTGCTGTCGTCAGGAGATTGGAGTTGTGACTTGGGTTCTTAGAATCTAGTAAGACTTAGATTAGGTCGATAGGGAGATTGTTCCGTACCGAATTGCGATGGTCCTGTGACCATCGCAGCACCCCCGTACACGGAGCAATGTCCTAAATTGTATTTCTGATTGCATGTGACTTAATGCGTGCAATCACTTACACACAAGTGGTTTATGGATTATGTCCACTCTAGTTGACATAATTAGTTCTCACGTGAGCAACTGTTCGTTTAGAAACCGAGTAAATGCTGAAGGAACCTTTCGCCCAAAAATGGTTTTTGTTCTCGAAACTCGAAACAATTTTTAGAAATCAGTATTTCAGAGAAAATGCATTATAAATCCGGTAAATAAAGCGGCATTATTGGATAATGCTCCGTTCAAAAATTCACCCTTACCATTTAAAAGATATTCTGTTTCTTTAATTCTAAGGATTTACGTATAAAATGCGACCTGAAGCGAGCGTGCGACCTGAGGAGACTCACATCCAAAGTACAATTTCCCTCAAAATCAGTATGCTGGGAAAAAATCCCCAAACGGATTGCTCTCATGAGGACAAAGTCAAAGACTTAGGACTGAACCCACGAACCACATATAGTCGAGATAGAAAGGTTCCCAATGTTAAACGCTAATTTTCCCTATTGGAGTTCATTCATCCTTAAGGTTCCATTAAGTGAAGGAGGTTTAAATATTAGGGCCTATATTTTTCACGTTGAAAGCGAGTGGCAGAAAGGTTTCACATAGATAACTTCCATTACTTTGATGACGGCTTGCAGGATGTTTTGCTCCATTTCACACCTGCCAACATTCATTAAATGCTGGACCATTCACGGTCGAAGTATGAGCAGGAAATTAATTCATTTTTAATGCTTTCTCCATCAGTGTTAGCATCTACTCAATTGCTTCAGCCGATCTACCAGGAAATATTTCTTTCAAGAGGAACGTTCGATTTTGAGCAAATAAGACAGTGGCTGAAAGGCACTCGAATTTTTCGCACCAATCGCAGACTTGGATGGCATTTTCGGCTCGCATAATTAGAAGAAAAGATTACTGTGTCGGAACCTTACTGTGTCGGAACCTTACTGTGTCGGAACCTTACTGTGTCAGACCTATTTCCCGAAATAGGCACAGACCTGTTCATGTATGCCATCAAGGGCTTGGTGTAGGAGAAATGACGTGAAGACACTTGATAGATATATTTTAACATAAGCCTGAACAGTAATGGGTGCTAAAATCATTCCTATTTTCCTTACTAATACTACAAAAAGTGTTTTCTGGGACGGTCTTGATGGTACATGGTCTTCCTGTAGTGTTTCCCATTTGAATGTGCTTTTTTATTTATTATTTTCTATTACTAACACGATTATCTAAGTATGGTGAATGCCTTTAGCACGTATCGAAGTAATATAGGTTATCGAAGGAGAGGACAGACTCACGTGAAACAGCTTCACCGCGGCCGCATTGCTCACATATTAATTAAATGAACGCTTTAGTATGACATCAATCCTTTAACATTGATTCAATGTTGATTCGATGTTGAAAAGATCAATATTGAGAGAACGTTGTTCGGTCAACGTAACATCAACAGATGTCTGGCGAGACATCTAGCAAGTCATGCGAACAAACAAGATTTCCTGACTGCGAAATATGATGGCAACTAGTTGTCCAACATAGTTAGTTATCATATACATGCAATCAGTACGCGTCTCTAGTACTTTTGGAACAGTACTTGATATTTCTCCACAAACGACGCCTGGGAAGAAATTTGACTTTCTGGATATATTCGACCAATGTGGCAACACAATCAAACAAGACCCGGGATAATTCTGAGTAGGGTGATGGACACAAGAAAGTATGCGAGGTCATGTTACTCCATGAGACCACGTCGCCCTGTTTTCGAGGATGAATCCAAATCATGATCAATGCTGAAGGGTGCGTGGAGTGAGGGTAGCCTCTTTTAAAATCGCTGTAATCGCGTTGGTGTCCTTCTGCTTCCGGGGGAACAGGAAGTCACTGATAAACTTCGCAATAGCCCAAAACCACATGTTCGGTTATAAGGGATATCCACATGTCTATTTTCTCGTATGGGACAGCCCTGCCTAAAAACGCGAGACCGGAAATGTGAAAATTCAGTCCGAATCCAGTCTCACCTCGTCTCCTCCTTCAAGTAAAACGCAATGAAAAGCACAATCGTTCTCGCCCTCTTCTCTTCCCCATATTTCCCTCGTTCCTTGGACCTAAGGGCAGTACCCTTGCCCCGCCCTGATCCCAAGGCCATTACCCTCAGTACATGATCCTATGATCAACGCAAAGAAATCCCCGCGAATTGTTCCTCGGCGGCGATTAGCCATATCTAATCTGACTTTAATGATGATGTTTGGTTATCGAAGCGATGGTGAGCGAGATTGTTGTCCTTCGTCAGGAATATACTCTTAGAGAAACACGTCTCCTTCTAGCAAATAAGTATCACCGGGCAGGAATTGGTCACCGTTCATCTTTTGTTCCTCCTTCAGCATTTTTCGGTTGCAAAGAATTTGATTTTACCTTGTATTTTGGGGTATGACTTTCTGACACATATCCCACAAGGCACATTCATAATTCATATTGATGAAGCCAAACTATTGCGGAACGTTGATCCCCAGACCTTTGAACAGGTTTTTTTTTTAGGTCTATGTTGTGAAGCCTGTTTTAGTCCCACAAAAAACAGAAGTTTCTTTTCTTCTTCGTCTTTCTCATCCAAGCTCTCAGTGCACTGGTGAAGTCCTTTTGGAGTTATGTCAAAATTTGCCATATGGTTTGTTTTGGGACAAATCATTGGGAATCTTTCAAAATAACACAATCCTGGCCAGAGTCGAGAACTTTGATCAAAATCTCATTCAATCACATCCAAAGCATTGAATTGGTGCTGTTGAGGCGGTTTGGGTTACCCAAACAATGCCCGATAACTCCATGCAGATTTCAAGATCTCACAAGGGCAGTATCAACGCAATTTTCTTTTTGAAATGGAAATATTAATTTTGGTGCTTTTAATGTTGATGCCAAAAACCTTAGCCCCTCACAAATATTAGAGCTTATATGTTTGCTGGAAAATTACAGCGGCCTTGTCACATTCCCATTTGGTGGGTTGGGTACAGCTAATGGCTTTCAGTGCTAAATCGATACAAGAGAGGCTTATCCTATAAAGCATCCTGCTCGCTGTTTGGATTTTGAGCAGAGGCAAGCAGAAAGAACTCATTGCTCCTTCACAGAGTCCTTGGAGTCCTCTTGTGCTAGTCAGAAAATAGGATGGATCATGGCGTTTTTGTCTCGACTATCGGAGATGGAATGATGCTACGATAAAAGACTGCTATGCACTTCCTAGAATTGATGACTGCTTAGATTCTCTATATGGTGCCAAATATTTTTCAGCCCTTGATCTAGCTTCAGGGTATTAGCAGATCCCTGTTGGCAAGGAAGAAAAAAATAAAACACCCTGTGCATGACATATGTGTGCACGAATAAGTTTGAAGTGGGTTTACGCTCTGACAAGCTTACTGTCACGCCCCCTCGAAATGAAACATTGTTCACATTTAAAATCTTTTTGCGAGAAACTGCTTTGGAATGGAAGGGAACATACCATCAGCGAGATGGACAGAACCAGTCTTTAAAAAATAATTGTGATGGTCCTGTGACCATCGCAGCACCCCCGTGCACGGAGCAATGTCCTAAATTGCATTTCTGATTGCATGTGACTTAACGCGTGCAATCACTTGTACACAAGTGCACATGTGTAAATGTGATTTCTCCACTTGCATGTGAATTCAAGTGGAGGCGAAATGACGAATCGATCTTCTTTCATCATTGGGGCTTGCAATGCCTGGATTCACAACAGGCGGGAGGTGCCGGAACAATGCCGCATTTCCCTTTCAAGGGCCAGGGCAACTCGCGTCTCACTGTCTATCCGAGAGACGGCGATAGGAGGGCGAATCTACGATTTTCAGTGGAAATTGCCTCCCCTCCATTTGGTGAGGCCACTTTGCAAATTACATTTCTCAAAGGCACATCCTCAGATGAACAGGAAGGTATCTGAAGAAACCCTAAATTCATATCTCGAAGCGTTTGGCCTGTAGACCCGACACACACACACACGCACACACACAAACACACATTTGTCGCTAATGCGGCAAAAGCAAATAACTCCCTAAAGAAACAAGAGAGAAACAAATTTTAATTCTCATTAATGCAACGTGTTCACATGGAGCCATTACAGTCGATGATTTACTTCATCCGTTCATGACTGCATTCGAGATAAAGCTCGCATGTGCGGTGACAGGAGTGAATCCATCAGGATACGTTCCACAATAACCCCATAATAATGCGTACACACCGATGGCGTATGCTATGCCGTCCTCGTACACAACCAGAGGTCCTCCACTGTCCCCCTGCAAATAAGTTTTGCACATTCATTAGAATTTTAATCGCATTTGATTCTCATGAACCTAATAAAAAAAAGTTCTCCAATGCCGCTTGTATGGGTCGAAGTTATCAAATGGTTGCATGTAACGTATCAAATTGAAATGGGATCACTCACAAAGCAGCCTCCATGACCCGTGGAGAGACCCTGTGCGCAAATGTACATATTTTGGTTCCAATATGGGCAATCTTTATTGGGAAAGACAGTCGCATCCAGTTTCTGCAAGATCATGGTACGAGTGTCAGGATTCTGTGAGGTAAGACCCCATCCGAACATTTTTCCGGCGCAAGCTTGGGTATCGTTCACGTGCTCGGAACTCGGGATGCAGATCGGCTGAACGGAGGGCGAGAAGGTCAGGGGCTGGCGAAGCGTAATCACCGCAATGTCATTGACGAAGGCCGTCGCATCTGCAAATGACGGAATGGGTTGCATCAATAAATTGCTGTATGAATGGGATGAGCTGTAGATATACCAATCACTCTTATGCCTCAAGTGCCTGAAGTGTACACCACCATTGCTTCAAATACAATATCTTTTTTTTTTTCAAACCGATCGACTACATTCGCAGTTTCCCTTCATCAGATATTCCCCAAAAAGGTGTCAAGTCGTGATTTTTTAGATTGGCAGAAGACTTTTTCTCCATCTCATCATTGTACTTAGCAACATGAAAACCTCTACTGGGCTTTTCCTCCCCCCCCCCCCCCCTCTCAAACCGCTTATGCTATGTGATAATTAGTTCTTATATCCGCTAGGAATGAACGATAATCATAACTCCATTAGAAATATTATAATTAAAACTAGTAGCAGGTAAACCTGATGCAAACCGGAGGAAACGAAATGCTCTGTTGTCGAGGAAGGAATCACAATGATCTTCAGAGACAACCCTCCCAGTAGCACCCAAACGTATTCAAGGAACGTTTCATCCAAGTTATTCCCAGCGTTCTATTAACGCCCTTGGAAACGTTCTATTGACTGCTTAAATGTTCAAATATAAAGCTATGGAAACAGTTCATATAATGCGTTCCCTGAACAACATAAATGTGATATTTCCAGGGAAAGAGTTCAATAAAACTTTCTTTTTTAGGAATATCCAATATGCAATTAAAGTTTTGTTCTTTTCATCTCATGAAGTTTTGTCAGTTTAAATAGAGTCCTGCGCCCATGGCTGGGATTAGAAGCCAAAATATCGGAGATAAGAAGGATGGAGGGTACTATTTTATATTGTCTTGGATATTCTGGAGAAGAGTAGGGCAAGACAGCCTTACAACAGAAATTCTCATTCTTTCGACATCCTCTCCCTCAAGAACCCCTTTCATGAGAAAAATGATTATGAACAAAAAACATGATGTCGCCTTGGAAATTGAATCATCCTCCCTCTATCTATTGAGCCAGAGTTCTCTGGAGATTCCTTGGACTGGGTTACCTCTAAAGATCGATTTATTCAAGAATTCGAGTATATTCCGTTCTTATTTACGTGGAGAGAAATTGGCAACCTTGTGGAAGGTATAAGGGGAATAAATCCAGATATATCAGAAAATTACATGTTTCAGGGAATACCTTGGCGCCATCTAACGTCAATGGTGCGAACCTTGGTTTCAAGCCGTTGTCAGATGGATACCATTGGTGTGCGTTGGGAAAGCATCTTAAACGTGTGACAAATATCCTTCAAATGCTTGGTGATCAAAAGGCACCTCATCTGAGCGCCCAAAAGGTGCTCATATATACAGGGTGTGCCAAAAATAGGTATACAATTGTATGTATGAACTGTGTTGAACACACAAAATGTTAATCCCTTAGATAATCAAAGAATTTGCCCTCATTGTTCACACATTCCTGGAGTCTGTCTGCCACACTGCGACGCACTATCACAAATATATTTGCTTGCGTCCACTTCCTGAAATGCGTCTGTGATGAAGCGTTTGAGATCACAATAGGCAACTTTATATCTACTTTTGACACACCCTGTATAATGCTTCGGCGTTTGCATGCCCGTAGTGCCATGTGCGCATGCGCGGCGCCTTCTGTCTGACTCCGGGTGTCTGTCTTGCTCTGTTGAGTTCGCACTTTCCTTCCAGCCATGTGACCATGCGACTGTCGGATCCATTCTCGAGAACGCAATAGCCCGGGGTGGGAAAGAGTTCAGATGGCATGACGAAAAAAAAAACGATGGAGCTGCCGGGAATCGATCCCGGGGTGGGAGATTTTTTTTCCTGCTACATCACCGAACCCAATACGTTGTTTGAGGGGTTCCTCTCCTTGCCATCCCTAACACTACAACGGGAGAGAGGCATTCAACGCACACTCTCCACTCCCGATACGGACTTCTCAGCAGGGACGTGTAAAACGTCCGCGCGTATTGTACTTGGAGTCCCCTTTCCTCACTTGAGGAAGGATTACTTCCTCGCCGGGATGAGATCTCATCATCATATATTTCATCATCAGATCATACATTTATCGGGATCCCGACCCCTTTATCAATCATCAGAACCCCAGAACTCTTACCGATCGGCCTCATCACAAGCATAGTGACTCCCGATGGTGAAAACGGCGGGATCCCACCTGCATGGAACAGGAACGATTACCCTTGGATCAGACGCCGTCGACCGCGCATTAACCATTCCGTTTCTCCAGCGTATGCAATGTATTTCACTCATAGGCCTACATGAACCGCGGTGGAAATGGACTGTTCCGGTGATACGCACACCGTCGCTATCGATGCCGGATAAGAGTGTCATTCAATAAAAGTCCGTTTTATAGGCGTGAACAACCCCCGTGAATAAGAGGAGGGGGATGCGCAAGAAGTACACTGACGAGCGGCTGCTGCGCATAGCATTGATGGGGACGCTGATTGAAGTCGTGAATAACCGAAAAATGCTACACGCTTAACCTAGGCCGACCTACATGCTTAACCTAGGCCGACCTACACGCTTAACCTAGGCCGACCCAGAGTTCCTGGAAATCTTCCACGGGTCGGCTAGTTATTTTACATTGGACGTCCAAAGACCTCTTTCAAAACACGTTAAGCGTTTTCGAAAGCGTTTATGTGCTACTTGGGTAATGTCATTTGTATCAAGCCTACAGGTTTCATTGGATCTGGGATTTTCCTCGGCACCAGATCATGTGAATGGCGGGAAGATGCGAATGGAGCCGAAGAAATAGAAAGTAACATGCAAGACACAGCAAAGCGATGATCTGCAAATCATCGTATTTGTTGGTTTTTTTTTTGTAAGAACCCGTCTCCCAAACAGTAAAACTTGAATTTTTTGCCTTCTACCGATGCGATTGCAATACGGGAAAACAATCAAACTCATTGAAGAACTCTCACTCTCGCCGACCTCTCCTTGCGTTCTTCGTGCAATTCCGCAAATTGCATTTAGAGCCATGGAAAAAAATGAAGGGTTTCTTTGCGAAAGCCCGTGTGAACGCATGCGGCGACGAGCTGAGTAATCGCCCCATATTTCCTCATGGACCCTTGAAATCTCTGGATTCACAGCTGCGAGGAGTGGGGGGGGGGGGGGGTGAGTGATGCCAGCGTCCCCTTTCGAGAACCACTGCAACTCTCGTTTCCAAGTTCATCGGAAAGATGGCGAGACGAGAGCGAGTCTCCGATTTTCAATGAAAGTTGCCTTCCTTCCCTATCGTATGGTCGATTTGCAAATTTCATTACGAAAAGGCACATCCTCGGATGATAAGGAAGAGTTCTGTCGAAACCCCAAGTTCATATATCAAAGCGTTTGGCCTGTGGAGCTGTCACATACACACAAACAAAATAATAAATTGTCGTTCGGCCTAGTTAGCGGCCAGAATCGCGCACGCTATATGTTTAACCTCCGGTACGCCGGTTTGAATAAATATTACGGAAAATTAAGAGCAAGCACAAGAACAATTACCGTCTAATGCACGGAAAAGGGAATCCAGCTTCATAGCGGAATACATGTTTCCTATTTTCTCACTCAGACATCCTTCTGCAAGAAAACCTTGGAGTCGCGTTGTTAGAGAGTACGACGTTTCATGTACGATGAATTTTAATTCAAAGAACGATGAGATGAAACCTTATCGACCTCTCTCTTCCAAATCATAGTCGGAAATGTTTTTTTTTCCCCCGTTAACGTATGTAACTTTTTGGGCCTTCCTCCCGAGTCTTTGTCGCTTCATTGCGCTACATATCATCGACCGATATCGGACAAGCCGCATGAAGTTCTGCGCATTGCATCTAATACTAACAATCTTATTTATGTGTGGAAATTTTTTTTATCGCTTTTCAGTTTGAATCGTTGAAAATATTCACGAACAACGATTTCCTAGCTGTTCCTCACCACCATCACACTCAACACCACCACTATACCTCTTGTCCACCTTCTGTCACTCTAATTGCACGTGAAGCAACTTTTTAATTCAAATAACTCTTTCATCTGAATTACTTTACATTCATTTAAATTGGCTTGGGGAACTTCCTTGGTTCCCACAGCATTTATCCTGCCAACATCGTGTGTACTGCGTTATATCTTCTTTAAAATTAAGCACCGCTCTTTAAATTCGAGCAAAAGGCAATCGTTATGGACATTCAATTTTTCAATAGCCATTGTTATACCAGGAATTTACTGCATTGCGAGGAGCTGAAACCAGTTAATTTCTCTACCACAATTTTCGGCGTTTGCACGTGTTTAAATTATTGCACTTAAAAAAAAACTTGATGTGAATAGACCTTAATCACCTGAGTTATGACCTACAGGGAAAAGCATGGGGCTCCCCGAACACATTCAAGAAAATGCAATTTCGCCTTTTTTGGAGAGGTGGATGAACTAAGAAGTGTCACTTCACTCACTATAGGAAGGATTGGGGAGCCAGGACGAAGCAGTGTATGTCGTTCCCAGTGTGGCGTCCGCGTTTCCGACTGTCACAACCACATAGCTTGCCAAGTCACTCCTTGATTGGAATATAAGGAAGGTTCTCGCATGTCGAAATACTGTACATTCGGGCGACTAACGATGCTTGTGACTGAAACGGAAGACATACATTTTGTCCTAAGCCGTTCACTCTCTTCTTAGTTCCTCTTGTGAGAACTGATGAATCGTCTTAGACTCACCAAATAAGTTTCTTCAAACGGTTTCTTTCACAATCGAATTATAACTGATTTCAGCTGCATATTTCTGTCACGCGGTATATTGGACCAATAAAACCCATTCTTGAACGTATCCAACAATATTGGTCTGGTGTTAGGGCCCGAAATTAGGTCAATAAACTGCGTCTACTGCTGGGGAATATATACTGTGATCAACGAGTAAAATTGCTTTTTCTTTTACACTGTGCCCTTCACTAATATGACATAGACGTGGTGTGCGTTTTGGAACATGCGTGTTTTTGGAAGGTCTAAATAGCAACAAACTGACCCCTTTTGAAGGCAGTGAGCAGCAGTCAAGACATGAAGTTCGTCGATGATGGAACCGGTGCACACTCCCGATCCGGCAGTTGTAATGAACTGAACGTAGACCAGCCACGGTGCTTCCGCGATGGTGGCCGGGGTCCCTCCGACGATCAATTCCCCTCGTCTCTCCACTGGTTCGGCTTCGCGCCGTCGCAATAGGAAGACCTCCAGGAACCTTCTGAACCAGCTAGTCGACGTGGACGCCCAGGACAAATTCGAACGTCCACATGTGCTCGCATCTGGAAGGCACGATGAGCCAATCACAACCGTGCTTTTACAGTCACAACCGACTGCTTTTGCTCGTGGACATCAAAAAGGACACATATGAACTGACGCTATCCTACCTGCTATGACTAGAAAAGGAAAAGGCTAAAGAGAACGACGCCAAACGTTCCTAGAAAGCCGCTCGTGAAATCGTACCGAGCAATACAAGAAGCTTTTGTTCATAATGTGTAGTTTACATAGGCTGAAATGCAATGTTTCGAAGATGCTATTAGAGCTCAGCCATACCTTTTATTTGTTATCATCGTTATTCAGCAAACAAATTTCCGACGATACCAATTCTCGATAAGAGATAGAGGCCAAACATTCCACGGTGGCATTTAACAGGCCTATATTTCTAGGCATAAGGAAACGACTCACGAAATAGCGGTTGTGATGCTGCGTATCTTCTGCAGTTCGAGGGAGGAAGAGATGTAGTCGCTGGTGTCGTAGTAGGTGCTGCAGGTGGTAGTACTGTTGTCTTGAACTTTTTGTTCCATCCCTGAAGACTTTCTTCGGGCATATCAAGGAGAAGCGCGATGGCTGCGAGGAATCCGTTCATGACGAAGGTTCCTCTCTTACTGTGCTCAAATCTTTTCCGGGAGGGATCTCGCCGGGTGCGCTTACTGCGATGTTACACGTCGTGTTTTTCAAGATATCTTAGAATGAGTATGTTATTCTTCGCATTCCAGGAATGGGTTCGTCCAAGTCGAAAATTGACAAGACAGACGTGGTTGACACACGCCGAGGATACCCGTCGCCGTGACATTTTTTTTATCCGATGAGGAAAGAGCTTTAACACATCGTTAACCAGTGTCCACTGAGGGCGGACCAGAGGTTGACGTCGCACGTGAGTCGCACGTGACTGAAAACCAATATTTCTTTAATTCATATCTCCTTTACCAAGAGAAAGGAAAATAAAATACTCAAGATATTGGGGTTTCATGTAAGACCTGTTAACTCAGAAAATATTCAATTTTTTCCCAGGTGGTGGAGCATCATTTCTCTGTTAGTTGGAATGGAGTGGCCCAAGTTAACTCCTCCTACATGCATTGGAGGCATGCTAAGCTGCATAAAGGAATCCTGGTGAATAAGGGGAGGGAACAGATGGAAGAAGACCGCGCTCACGCACCCCGCCCCACACACTGTTACGCAAATTCGCATACCCCCCCCCCATTCTCCTACCTTCTGCCTGCGTCGTATCCACTGAGCTAAGAAATAAGGAAAATAATGCATCCCTTTAGGGGAAAACAAATTGCCTAACCCTATGCGTCAGGGATTATATTTTACGATTGATTTTAGTGACTAGGTTTCACATGTCCTGAATGTTGCAAATGAACGCCTGAATTTATCCCCCCAGATTTTTGCATGCCCACCATTGATTGGACAAGGTGTGTGTTTCTAAACACCTCTGTGACTGTAAGGGGGAAAAAAAAAAACAAGAAACACTCCAAGCATGTTCAGAAATAAACTCGTGTATAGAAGCACGGAAAACTGCAAGTCTACATCGAATGAAATTGCCGAAAGCAGTTCCGATTGCTATTTCGACGTTTAAGTCGACGTTTCCAGGGAACATTCGCTACGTCGCAAGTTTACAACTGCGAGATCAATCAAATGGAAGAGGACTCGTAGAGTCCACTTCCGGTACTTGATGAATATGCGGTGAAGGGAAAGATTTATTTTTTATTTGTCCGCCCGCGTCACTTTATCAATGTCTCCAAAAGTGGAGAAAAGAATCACAGAACCGTTATCCATTAATTTCACGGCAACACTGCCCCCATTCTTAGTTACAACACTGTCCATACTTCCCCTTCTCCTTTTTTGGAGGAGTTTATCCTATTCTAAAGGGCATTATTCAAGTCGATTCTTTCTGACCGTACCAGCTGCAAAAATGAATGCCCCTAACCAGCCAGAAATTTTTTTTTTTTGCAACTACAATCGGTTTCAGCAGTTATAGACATGCATGAGCATGTAATTATCGCGAGAATCTTCAGGAACTGTCAGTTTCATTTTACAGCTTCTGAACAGCCTTTGGCAGCCTTCAGTCACAGAGTTGCTTTGAAAAGTAGTCAGCGAGTAGCCTGGACAGCACTAGTGATGCTGCGGAGGGGCGGCGGCGCCGTCCACTGCATGGCAGACGTTCACAACTACAGTGGTACCTCGCATAACGAACGCAATTCGTTCCAGCGGTGCGTTCGTTTCGTAGGAGAGTCGTGCAGCCTGCTGAGCGATGTGATGCATGGAAAGCAGCACTCAGGTGTGGAACGCCAGGGGGCGGCCGGAAATTCATCCCGGACCTCTGCTTGCCGGTCAGGTGTGCTACCATTACACCACGGAACTCGGGATGCTATGCCTCTCCGTGTCATCTCAATCACTACAGTCGTTTGTCGCAGCGAGCACTGTCAGGCTGGACATTTTTATGTAGGGAGGAGGGGCATTGGTTCACGTTGCTGGTACAACGGATAAAATGCTCCTGCTGCAACTCACACTTCACCCTGAGGCTCTGAAAATGTTGCTCACTGGTGCTAATGTGGCGGCGAGGCATTTTCAGGAATTAATCGCTAGCATTGTGCTGCACATGCACTGACTTCCCTCTGTGCCGTCGAACAAGTTCTTGGAAATGGTCCGTGCTGTTTCAGAATCATTGGTGTCTGTACCATACGCTGACGCTACTAGCCCATGAGCTAATCGGTGATGCAAGAGTATTGAATGTGCTAGGAAGACGAAATCAGCAAAGTCGTCTTGAGTCTCATAAAAACGAACCGCTGGAACGAATTGCGTTCGTTATGCGAGGTACCACTGTATTATGTATTTCAAAACACATATATTACACGATGGGTTAAAACTTTTACATTGAGATTTGTACAACGAATCTAGAAATATATATTTTTTCATCAAGTATTTTTTGGGGGGGACGAAATGTACAGGCCCCAAAATTGCTCAGATTATTTTTGATTCTGATGTCAGTTCAAAAAACGGAAAATGGATAGTACCAAACATTCAAGTGCTTATGTACTTGGAGCAAAGATTACCCTATACGAGGGCTGGTCAAAGAGTTCCCGGAAAAAGTGACGTCATATTCTCAGATCCCCAATATTTTTTCGCTGCGTATTCTTATGCATCTTAGAAGTTCTTCCATTTAATTTCAGATCCCTGCGTTAAAATGGAGACTCGCAAGCGCGCGCGAAGTGAAACAAGTGAGAGGGTCTTGCCACCCTTGACGAGCCGTGACAAACGCGGGGGCGATTTTGGTGCAGTTTCGGCCCAGATACGAAGAACCAGAGGAAGAAATGGGAAGTATAAGTAGATCTAGGTTTCATCATCTGCGATCGGTGATGCAAGAGCATTGTATATGCTGGGAAGAAGTTGTGGTGGTGGCTGTCACCCAACGCGCGAGGCCTACGAGACCAGATCATTTTAGGCCATAGACTAGACCATCCACAGCTCAAAGCGCCAGGTCCATTAGGCTAAGTCAGTCTGAGCTACAGGCTGTGGGTCATCCTATTATTTTCATGGGCTTCATACTAAGTAGCACCCTTTGATTGACACAGCTAACTGAATGCGTCTCACGTTTTCACTGATCGACTGCAAGTTCTCCGTTTGAATACATTCTTCGTTGATCTTTTTTTTGCTAGGTCAGGCGTGGCGGTTCACGCCATCACTTCCATACAATACTTTTCTGTTTGCGTTTCGTGTCATGACAGATATATTTGAGTTATCATGATTGATGAAGTCAACATAATAGTCTAAAAATTCTCTGCTTCATATGTCGCGCAAACGAGGCGCACCTCCCATCAAAATGGTGGCGATATTTGCTAGGTGAAGTTGAACCCGAAGAAGAAGGAGGTCCCACAGGACGGCGATGGGGCAGTTGTTGCTGGTAAAAAAAACAGGTTGGTGCTGGCGCGAAAACAACGTTTGCCACTGCAGTTGCGGTGCGAAGTGAACAAATCGGTGCTAGCCCTAATGGCTAGAATCAGTGATGAACAGCAAGCAGATGTACGTAGGGAGCGTAAGGCTGAACAGCAAGAGGCAGTGAATGCTGAGCTCCGGAATAGGAGAGTCGTGGAGCCTGCTGAGCGATGTGATGCAAGGAACGCAGCACTCAGGTGTGGAACGCCAGGGGGCGGCCGGAAATTGATCCCGGACCTCTGCTTGCCGGTCAGGTGTGCTACCATTACACCACGGAACTCGGGATGCTATGCCTCTCCGTGTCATCTCAATCACTACAGTCGTTTGTAGCAGCGAGCACTGTCAGGCTGTACATTTTGATGTAGGGAGGAGGGGCATTGGTTCACGTTGCTGGTACAACGGAAAAAATGCTCCTGCTGCAACTCACACTTCACCCTGAGGCTCTGAAAGTGTTGCTCACTGGTGCTAATGTGGCGGCGAGGCATTTTCAGGAATTAATCGCTAGCATTGTGCTGCACATGCACTGACTTCCCTCTGTGCCGTCGAACAAGTTCTTGGAAATGGTCCGTGCTATTTCAGAATCATTGGTGTCTGTACCATACGCTGACGCTACTAGCCCATGAGCTAATCGGTGATGCAAGAGTATTGAATGTGCTAGGAAGACGAAATCAGCAAAGTCGTCTTGAGTCTCATAAAAACGTGCTAAACCGAGGCGTTCACAATGGCGATTGTGGTTATCAGCTCGAATATCATGATTATGGTGTTTAGGAGAAGAATCTCCCTGTGTACTGTAAGTTATATGTGTATAAATGTAATGAAGCGGTTCAGTTCCGAATGGGTAATGCGATGAACAGAGGATCGTCAAGGAGACATAATGCTCATAATAGACGATTCACATTTCCACCTATTAGACGGCCAGCTTAGCGGCCGCAGGCCGCTAGTATGAATTTAAATATTGGCAGAGATGTTCACAGTAACATGGAAGAATGGGTCCAACATCATTACCTTTTTATGATACCACGCATACCAGGTAGATTGGAATGACCGTCAAATTTGGAAAATTCCACAGGAAAGTAATAGATATTTTCAACATTCATTAAAAATGTGCCTCTTAGAACCTAATGATGCCCAGTGTCATCACTCTTTTAATGTTTCACAGACTCCATTTCACAAGGACTCTAGGAAAATTCCACGAGGGGAAGAAATGAGAGAGGGACCTGGAACAGAAAAGTTCCATGTTGTTGCTGGCTTCCTGAAGCCTCAGCCCCCGTGCCTCTCCCCGCCTCTCCAGACAAGTCCTCATCCGATTCAGCCTTTCCAGCTCTGCCAGCTGATGCTACCTCTGTCACTGCAGGATCTCCTCCCTGAGACAACTACACATGGGTATGGCATGACTGAAAGCATACAACCGTTCAAAATTGATTCATGGCTTCTCTCAAATAAAGTGGGAAGGCAAAAAAAAGGAGGATGACATACGGTTTCTGATACACCATATTATCTAATGCAAGGAATTGGAGCACCAGTCAATGTCCAGCAGTCAGGACATGAAGTTCGTCGATGATAGAGCCCGTGCAATAAAATCGTTGCC